CAAACCAGCAGGCATACACAACCCTTAATGGAAGTGGACCGAGTACGCAGCCTCCCTCTATCAGCTGTGACAACTTAAGACAAAATTAGAGCAGTAATAAAGCGCTCAATTCACTAATCACTAAGTACTTTCTCCTTTGGTGTCTTGTCACCTTAAGACACAGGGAACACCTTCCCTGTTTTGGCGGAGCTGAGGGTGGGTGTGCGTGTTTCAGACAGGTCAGGTCTCACTATGTTGGCCACAGCTGGCCTTGGAACTCCTGGGCTCAAGCAATCTTTGCACCTCAGCCTTCCCAGTAGGTTAGACTATACAGGCATGCACCACCATGCTACAAACCATCCCAATTTGTTATCTTAACCAACGGTGCTATTTACCTGCCATAAAGTAACACAAGTCCCTATTCCTTCCAGATTTGCATCTGGTGAGAAGCTGAAAGATTCACTCATGTTAAGCCATCGTAATCTGGCTTAAGAGTTGTTAGCATAACAAAACTTAGTAATGCAAGAACACGACTTAAAGCAAACAGTATTAATGCTTCAAAAAGTTCCCTGCCCCCACTTCCCCAGAAGCCAACTGCTTTTCTTTTTAGCTGTTTTTTACCTTTATTTCTGAATAAGGTGTTCATAATCCATTTGCCACTTCTAAAAATTTCCTTATTTCTAAGTTTTGCTCTTATACCTAATACCCACCCATCCCCACTTCATGTCAGATAATTAAAATATTCAGTGCTGCTATGATTGTAACAAGGTAAACATCACATACAGTTAAATCATGCTACGGTCTGAGCATTTATGTCCGCCAAGAATTCATGTTAAAATCTGAATCCCCAAGGGGAAAAAGTATTAGGTATACCTTTGAGAGGTGATTAAGCCACAGAACACAGCCCTCCCTCATCAAGGGGATTCATGCCCTTACATAAAAGAAAACTCCAGAGAAATCCCTCACCCTTCCTGCCTTCCAAACTCAAGACAGAATCCAGACACCAAATCTGCCATGTCCTTGATCATGGCCTTCCTGGCCTCCAAAACTCTTAAGAAATAAAATTCTGTTGTGTATAAGCCATCCAGTTTATGGTATTTTGTTAGAGCGGCTCAAACAAAGAAAATCCCCATATTGGCCAGGTGCAGTGGTTCACACCTGTACTCCCAGCACCTTGAGACGCCAAGGCAGGTGGATCACTTGAGGTCTGGAGGTCAAGACCAGCCTGGCTAACATGCTGAAACCCAGTCTCTACTAAAAATGCAAAATCTAGCCGGGCATGGTGGCACGTGCCTGTAGTCCCAGCTACTCGGGAGGCTGATGCAGAAAAATTGCTTGAACCTGGGCAGCAGCGGTTGCAATGAGCCAAGATCACCAACTGCAATCCAACCTGGGTGACAGAGTAACACTCCATCTCAAAAACAAAACAAAAACCTATATTACAGTATCTCAGAAGTTTTTGGTTTTTTCTAGTTAATATTTACCATAATTTTTTCATTTCTCTGTACTTCATAACTCAGCTCTGAACTCTCCAAGCAAGCCAAAAATGTTCTATGTTCAAATAGTATTTTTTTTTCTTGTCTGAGACATCCCCTCTTACAAGTGTACTTTCTCCTGCTTCAACCTGGACTACTGTTCTCCAAATCCACTGCAGAAATGGAATCCTGGGACTTCCCATCACCATCACCCTGGCAATTGCCTTCGCCTCAGAATGAGATCATGTATAAAAACACAAAAGAACTGAGAGCAAACTGACCTGGGTAATCTGAAATAGCACTTAATATCACAGTGCCAATGATCTCTAACTGTTCCATACCTGAGTCTACTTTAGTACTAATGTAGCTCTAGGGTAAGGAGCCTGGTTTAATTTAGCATTCAACCAAGTCAACCCCAATTTTGAGGATGCCTGGAAAACTATTTTACAGACAGGGTCCCACTGTCACCCAGGCTGGAATGCGGTGACGCCATCTCTGCTCACTGCAATCTCTGGTCCCTAGCATCAAGCAATCCTCCCATCTCAGCCCCCTGAATAGCTGTGACTACAGAAGCAAGTCACCACAACCAGCTCATTTTTTAATTCTGTTCCCTCTTTTTTTTTCTGAGATGGACTTTCACTCGTTGCCCTGGCTGGAGTGCAATGGTGTGATCTCAGCTCACCGCAACCTCTGCCTCCCAGGTTCAAGCAATTCTCCTGCCTCAGCTTCCTAAGTAGCTGGGGTTACAGGCACCAAGCCTGACTAATTTTTATATTTTTAGTAGAGACAAGGTTTTGCTACTTTGGTCTAGCTAGTCTCAAACACCTGATCTCGGGATCCACTCACCTCAGCCTCCCAAAGTGATGGGATTACAGGCATGAGCCACCACGCCTGGTCTCTCTTTTTTTTTCTTTTTTTTTTTTTTTTGAGACAGTTTCCCTCTTCTTGCCCAGGCTGGAGTGCAATGGTGAATCGGCTCACCGCAGCAATCTCCGCCTCCCGGCTTCTAAACTGAGTGAGACTGTCTCAGGAAAACAAAAATAAAAGCAATAAATGGTTTTAAAAAAGAGAAAAGAAAATGGAAAAGGATCTAGTATGAATATTAGCATTAAGCCAGGCCAGATTCTGAGTCATGATAAAACTATTCTTAAGTCAGGATTTCAAAGCAAAAAGCAAGAAATAATAATAGAATCAAAAAATAAAAAAATTTTGAGGCCGGGCGCGGTGGCTCAAGCCTGTAATCCCAGCACTTTGGGAGGCCGAGGCGGGTGGATCACGAGGTCAAGAGATCGAGACCATCCTGGCCAACATGGTGAAACCCCGTCTCTACTAAAAATACAAAACATTAGCTGGGCATGGTGGTGCGTGCCTGTAATCCCAGCAACTCAGGAGGCTGAGGCAGGAGAATTGCCTGAACCCAGGAGGCGGAGGTTGCGGTGAGCCGAGATCGCGCCATTGCACTCCAGCCTGGGTAACAAGAGCGAGACTCCGTCTCAAAAAAAAAAAAAAAAATTTTTGAGACAGGGTCATTCTGTCACCCAGGCTGTAGTGCAGTGGCCTGATCTCAGCTCACTACAGCCTTGACTTCCTAGGTTCAAGTGATCCTCCCAGCTCAGCCTCCAGAGTAGCTGGGACCACATGTGCACCAGCATGCCCAGCTAACTTTTTAACTTTTTGTAGAGACAGGTTTTCACCATGTTGCCCAGGCTGGTCTTGAATTCCTGAGCTCAAGCAACTGGCTTGCCTCGGCCTCTCAAAGTGCCGGGATTATGGGCGCTGAGTCACTGCACCTGGCCAAGGAGTTAAAATTTTAGGCCAGGTGCAGTGGCTCACACCTGCAATCCCGGCACTTTGGGAGGCCAAGGTGGGCGGATCATGAGCTCAGATCAAGACCATCCTGGCCAACACGGTGAAACTCTACTAAAAATACAAAAAAAATTAGCCAGACATGGTGACACGCGCCTGCAGTCCCAGTTACTCAGGAAGCTGAGGCAGGAGAATAGCTTGAACTCAGGAGGAGGTGGTTACAGTGAGCCCAGATTATACCACTGCACTCCAGCCTGAGTGACAGAGACTCCGTACCCCCCCCCAAAAAAAAGCTTGTTTTGTAATGCAAAAATATATCCATGTTTACCATAACATGTCACTTCTGAAAATCCTTCACTGACCATCCCCATCTAAACAGAATTCTCTACTTGACATTTCTGCAGTCTCCTCCCTCAGAATGAGTTCCAGAACTCTATGCATCCCCAACACTTAACACCTTGCAGAGTATCACTCAATAAAGTATTTGTTGAATTAATGAATAGTCTCCAAAGTTTGAAATTTGCCAAGCCTACCCATCAGAACAAAGGGTAAACTGACAAGAGTAAAAAATGGGGTCAGTAGTGGGTATGTCCTTTAGAGAAAAAGAAACCAAAGTAAGTACATACGACCCTCCAAGAGAAGTGGCAGAGAACCAACCCAGCCAACAAAGGAACCAACTAACAGAAAAACGTTTGCTGGGAGGATTAAATGAGAATACATGAAACACCCAGCACAGGTTTCACATACAATAATATTCAATAAATTACATGTTGTAGAGAGCTGTTCAAATCTTGGCCATCTATGATTAGAAAGAATCCAATAGGAGGAAGCAATTACAGTTAAAAAAAAAAAAAAAAAAATCTGAGACTCCATCTAAGTAAAGACCAGCTTCCTTATCACCCCATCATCACAACCTGACTTTCCTCAAAGTGTAATGCCTGGCATACAGTAGGTACTCAGTATATGTTGAATGATTCTGAGAAACGCTCTAACTAGACATAGTCCTACAACTGCAGAAACTGAAGCAAGAAGTTACAGACAATAAAAACATACAGAAGACAAATACTGTTTCAAGAGAAACGTGAAGCTAAGAGGCAGCAGCTCTTGCACTCAGCCCCATCATTCAACAAGACATCTAAAGCGCCTATGTTGGGTCATTTCTCCATGCCTATCATTTAAAGGCTGTAAACCCAAATAATGAGGTGCTAGTGGGACCATTCAGGTATTCTTTGGATTTTGGCAGAGCTAAACAAATAGAAAGTGAAAGGCATCAACACATGTTACTGAGCTACAGTTAGCAAAATACTCTTGGAGCCAGAGCTTCATTTCTTCACATGGCATGAAGAGCGAAAGCGGACTTCCTCTTCCCCTAAACCTCTCCTTTTCTCTGGAAGTAAGTTAAGCTAGATATGCTGACTGGGTGACTGGAATGATAGTCTTAGGGGAAGGTGGTGACTGTTTCTCTAGAAGAGAAGATCTGTACCTCTTAATTACTAGGAAGTAGTTGAGTTTATAACAAAGGTGAACCAGTGGGGAAAGTCTTCATTGGATTAAGGCTGCCTGCCTGGGCTTCTGTATAACCTCTTTCCTTTGGCACCTACAACTCCTATATACAATAAACAAAATAATTACAGTGACATTGACCCAAAGCTGAAAATCTTAAACTTTACACCCTCCCCTTCAAGGTACAAATCAACCCCAAAACAAGCCCAAACAAGAAGTCTCTCAAAGCACACAAACCCTAAGTTGAAAAACCATTTATTTCACCGGAAAGAAAAAAGTGATCCAATGCTCTAGGTCTAGCCTTTGGACCAAAAAGAGACCCGGGGCAGTGAGACTCTCACCAAGGTCATTCCCAAATCCAACAGCCGCAGGAGGCAGGAGAGGCAGGGAGGAGACAGCACAGCCCCCACCAGTTTCGGCACACAATGAGGCCTGCTGGGAGAACAGAACATGAATGGGAAGCTACAGAAGTATTGAAGGACAGAAGAACAGGAAAACGGGCAGGAGAGGAAAGGAAAGTAAAGGAAGAGAAGGTCTGAACTTAGCAAGGTAAATTAAGGTCCACGGTTCCTGAGGGACTGAACGCACAGAGCCGAGAACGTCCCGGAGATGGGGTACCACGAAGGGTGTATTCTCATGCACAACCGCAGCTCGGAATTTCAGCCCACACACATCCCACCTGAAAGAGAGCACAATACAGCGGCTTTACAGCAAAGCTCAAAAGGGCTTTCCCATTTAAAACTTCAACATCTTTACAATGTCTGATAACTTGACACTCCTTTTAAGTTTACTTGTACCGTTCCCAGTATCACAGTTATCTGTATGAAAAGAGCCTGAAGGCCAGAGATAACTGGGGAGGCTAAACAATCTCAGACTAAGGTCTTAAATAGCAAATCTTGTTCCATCAAAGTAGGCAAAGACATTCCATTGCTCTTGATGTTAACATGTAGCATTCCTCAGAGAAGGTAATTCAACGTCACAAACTGTCAATGGAGGACAGTAAAAAGGGAAAGGTTCCAATTAGCTCCCTAAGGTTAAAAAAAAAAAAAAAAATCAACAGTATTTCCTATCCAGGAGTTACTGCCAAGGTCCAAGTTAAAAATCATTCAAAGTCTAGATAAAAGTAGCATCAACTGTACAACTTTTAAGACCTGAGGACACCCAATTACAACTAGGGAAGAAACTAACTTTGGAAAGAAGGTGCAGAAGGGCATGTATAAGCTACACATCAAGTCACTGAAGTTTCTTCTCCAGCCCAATCAGTCATTTCCTACACAACAACCCTGGGAAAGTCACATACCTTCTGCCCTAACTGCAAAGATGAGTTATCTATCACTCACACTGTTACTGTAATTAAGAATCAATGGTAATGTCTGGGACACACTGGGAGCTACTCAAAACTAAGGGCATTTAGATTTACCCTTAAGTATAAAACAATAATCTCAAACACCTAGAGCCCAAAGCTGGCAAGTATCAGAAGAGAATATATTCAAGTAGAGCCAAATGGATCATGGGGCTCAAAATGTATCATAGTGGAAAAAGCCAGGGGACTCAGGGTAGAGCTGGTGGCTCAAGAGTATTAAATGCCCGTAACAGCTAGTGAGAAGATGAAGAAGGGAGTGATCTGCTTATGGCAAAGCTCCCAATCCTAGATTTTCAACATTACCAAAGGAGTAAAATTAACAGGTGTGCATGCATACTTAAACATATACCCTGAGAAAGCAGATGATGTCACAACTAGAACTGTGGGAGTATTTAAAAAAAAAAAAAAAAAAGCCTAAGTGAGTGACAGGCTGGGGTTGTTACAGGACAGATTGAAATATATAACAATGTGGGCACTCTATTCAGGGAATAAATCTGAGATGGGCAAAGAAGGTGGATGTTAGCATCTATGCCCAAATTTCCTTGTAGAACTTTATAAAAGACAAGTTTTGTAATTCTCTCTACCCCAACTTACCATCAAATAAGTTCTATAAAACTCCTAAGGGTTGAACCGTTCAGGAATGTCAGAAATACGCTTCAAGATTAAGATGATGCCATTTTGGTAGTCTTCTTAGTAACTGGGACCTGAGCAGTGATGACCAGTTAACTACAGTTATGGACTTTATCATTAGGGGTTGCATCAGAACTTTCACACAGCACAAAACAAAACAGGAAACTTGAAGACCTTAGAAATGTCACACACCTAGGAAACTTAACAAAGGCTCTGAAAAACAAAACACCTGAGCCTGAATGTGTGGGTCTCCAGGTAAGGTTCAATTATAGTATTTAGGTGACCCAAGATTCACCAGCACATCATTCTTTATTTTTCCAGGCACAAATAGAACCAAATTGACTCCCACTACCAGAAGCCCTGAAAAATAGCCATGAGGGCCAAAGAACTTTATATAAAGTTAAGCAGTTAGGACTTCTCTCTAGCCTGTGAGCCATCCTAGTAACCTTAACCTAACCCTGCAAAAGCAAGCAAGCAGGGCAGCCTAATTGGAGCCCTTTAGGATGCAGGAGGGATGGCAAAACAAGAAGAGGGAACACCCCACAAGCTCTCACCTCAAGCTTTAAAAGGCCGAGTACCGCGCTCGATCGGCATACTGCTCCCGCTCATACCGGGCCATGTCGTACAGAGAATTCCGCGCGGCTGCCGAAGCTTGGGACAACTCACTCTCATGCCCGTAACCGTAGCCCTCTCCAACAGTGGGGACTGGGGCTGTAGCGCGACGCAGGGGGCTCCGATCCCGCCCGTAATATGAAGTGGAAGCTGCATTAACTGCAGCAGCGGCTGCTGCTGCAGCAGCAGCTGTGGCAGCAGCTCCTGAGGTCGGCAACAGGTGTCTATCGTAGGGATCGAGAGAGGTGGAGGTGAGGTGACTGGCCATGGCTGTATTCTGGACTTGTGGCAGCTGGGACAGGGTTTGCTCTGCATAATTATACACGGAGGCAGCTGCAGCCGCCACTGCCTCATACGACCGGGCAGCACGGCAGCGCTTGTAGTAGGCATCGAGCGCTCCGTACGCGTTGTTGTAATACAATGAATCCCCATAGCTCATGGTGTAAGGCGTACGCACTGCTCCGTATTGCTCATTATATTGCTCGGTCAAGTCTGCCACGCGGCCTGAACGATCTATCGGACACTCTTTGGACCAGTGCCCCTCTTTCCCGCACCGATAGCAGCCGCTCTGGTCTCCCATCCCGGGCGCAGTCCTAAGCCGGCTGGTGGACAACTGCACGTGCATTCGTTTGCCTTGAAGAAACAGACGCAAGAAGGGTTGCTATCACTCTTAGTCATAGCCCCAGCCCCTACCCCAGACACCGATCATAGCAATGGCTTTACCAAGACAATTCTAATGCAGAACTCATCTTTGCCAAAAGACAAAAAGAAAAAAAAAATTTCAACATAAAGATTCAGTATAATGACCTGATTTCAAGCAAAGATCAATTCGATGAAGAAATATTTCAGCTATAACACTAGTTTAAATGCTAAGAAATAAACTACTCCTACTCTTGCTCAAAACAATCATCTTATTCTTTGCCAAGTAACTGCAGGTAAAAATCTTCAAACAGCAGCTCAATGTCAAAAGAAGTCAAAGAAAGAAAGAGTCCCCAAGTTTGTTCTGACACCTCCAATCCTTACTAGCAAGATAGGTTTCATTAAGCAAGGAAATGTAAAGGCCAGTTTTCCACCCACCTCAAAAAAATCAAAAAAGAATGGAATAAAAGACTCCAATAATTACCACTACTAAAGAATGATCTAGGCTGAATGTAAGAAAATCTCAAGGTACATCTCTGGAAAAACCCTCATGAACTAGGGAGACTGCAGGACACAACAAACAAGTACAGCCTTCTCCCTTAACTGGGCCCTTTAAATTGCTGGTTCTGATCATCACTTTAACAAGGAGTCTTTACAATCTGACAGTTAATTTTAGTGAACCTCTACTAGGGTCAAAGGCAAACGGCAAAAACAGGGCAGGCTGTTCTCAAATGCCCGAAATTTTAGAAATACTGTAAAAACCATAGAACAAAGGTGGCTGAGGAAAGTGGGGAATAACTAGTTATACTAGTCAGTGGCCCAAACTGCTCAGTTTAAGCAGGATTAAAGTACTTATCCTTAAACTACGTATCTGAGAGCCTAAGAACAAACACCTAATATTTTTCCTGAAAATTAAAATTTGCATTCTGGAAATGAAAAGTATTACTTCTGAAAATGCAATAAAAGCAGAAACCTTTTCTAGAAAAGTTAAAACTAGCCAGGCACGGTGGCTCACGCCTGTAATCCCGGCACTTTGGGAGGCCAAGGCAGGTGGATCACGAGGTCAACAGATCGAGACCATCCTGGTCAACACGGTGAAACCCTGTCTCTACTAAAAATACAAAAAATTAGCCGGGCATGGTGGCGCGTGCCTATAATCCCAGCTACTCAGGAGGCTGAGGCAGGAGAATTGCCTGAACCCAGGAGGCGGAGGCTGCGGTGAGCCGAGATCGCGCCATTGCACTCCAGCCTGGGTAACAAGAGCAAAACTCCATCTCAAAAAAAAAAAAGTTAAAACTAAGTTTTAATAAGTCTTCACAGAAGCAATTTCTACCTAACATGATCTACCAGCTTACTTCTAAGGGAAATTCAGAAGAGATCTAAATCCAGCAAAACCTTCCCAATGAAACTGGTTATGATGCACCCTAAACATATACCCGTTTGAGTAAATGGTCAAAGGCAACGGAGAGTCAACAGATGGATCCTCTAACAGAGAAAGTGGTAAACACAAAATCTTACCTGCAAAATTAAGGTTAGGTTCTGGGAGACCAGAAAACACAATAGGGACAAGCGGGGTGGAAGGACCAAAATATCAAAGAGGTCTAGGTTTAATCGTTACAACTCGGAAGTTTAGGTTGCAGGTTATTAAAACAGAGTAGATATGCAATTAAGTACTTAAGTGCCTTAAAGTGCTAACCTGTAACTCTGGCATTTGCCCAGAGGGCCACTTTGGCACCTACCAAAACCAGAGAAAACAAGTGCAACTAAGAAATCAACTATGCACATTCCAGACATAAAGATCATTAATAAATGCCTTGATCTAAGGATTTGTTGGCTCTAATGCCAGAAAAGTAAGTTAAATTCTAAAAAACATCTAAAAGAGATTTTAATTGGTCAAGCAATAGAGAAGATACCCAACACTGGGAAACTGAAACTAAAAAAGACCACCCTAATAAATACCACTCATCAATATACGTACATAACTCTACTAGTATTAAGAAATGAAAAATGCCAATATTAAAGAAAATAAGGTAAAAATACCTAGGCACAAATTAGAGTAAGAGGACCTAGGGTTCAGACCCCCGGAGTTTTATATAAGGATAATCTGTCCTGAATCAAGATCACACTGTCCTCCCCTTAAACTTAACCGCTACAAGCAGACACCACCTCTTCTGACTGGGTTAAAATGTGGGAAAGAGTCCAAAAATTAGTATCACATCACAAACCCTCCACAAGAGCAGCCTCTGCTCCCAATTAAGTTGTTGACAAAATAATTCTCAACTTGCCAATTAAAAAAAAAGAAAGCAAACTAGACCTGAGAGACCTGTGTCATTCTTCTTTACTAACGCACAGCAATGCCCATGACACAGAGCACCCATTACTAGGAGAAATAATGATCAGACCTCCAGCTCTAAAAAAGCCCAATTTAAGGGAAATGGACACCAAAGACAGCAGTAATGACTCTCAATGAGGGGAGTGCCCAGAAAAAGAATCAGCCACTACGCTGTCAGAACACAGGTTTGAAACACAGCAAGGAGTCACGGGAATACTCCATAATTTGGATAAGGCTTTGTAAATTTTTATTCAGTTCTGCTGAATTATGTTGAAAAGGGAAAACGCTCTTTTTGATACTGGGAACCCAAATGAGGGGAGAGAAGGAGAGTTCAGATAGCAATTCACCATGGTTACCACACCTGAACTGCAACTGTTGCTTCAGACCTCAGATTCTGGAATATTTGTATTATACTTACCAGTTGAGCATCCCAAATCTGAAAATATAAAATCCAAAATGCTCTAACAAGCATTTCCTTTGAGCAATATGTAGGCATTCAAACTGTATGGGATTTGAAATGCTTCCAAATGAAATGACAATCCACATCACCCATGCTGCCCTCCAGGACAAAAAATTTCATTTGGTCAAGGCTCCAAGATAAAACAAATCTAAGTGCTCTATTCACCAAAGATATTATAACGTCTAGCCCCCAAACCATTTTACTGCCCCTAAAATCCCAATGCCTCCTGCCCAGAAGTCCTAAAATCAGCCTTCTAATTCTACAGTGGCCTTATACTCAAAACACAACCCCTGGGTACAGGTATAATACAAAAGCAACAAAAGCTGTAACCTTTTAAAGAGTTAGTGTAAGGTAGGATAGCTTAACAAGAATTCTGCTCCTACGAACGCGTTGCTTGACCTGTTTTTGCAGGTTCTTCACGTAAAATGCCTAATTCTAATCTGGTGCTGAGGGCAAGAAATTCAGAGTGAGGTACTCTGAACTGTGCTCTACTACTACTACTGCTACTACAAAAAAAAAAAAAAAAAAAAAAAAAAGAAAGAAAACGATTTCTGCACTGATGAACACAAAAGCCTTAGGGGCTCCAAATAAAAGCTGAGTGGTTTTTCTCCATGAGACATTTGCCTACGGTAAAGCCTGTAAGTCCCATGCGTTCTCCATCTTAGGAAGTCCATCACCCATGTTTAATTCTTCACCACCAGCCAGCCAACAGCTGTTATCTTTTCCAAATCCCTCCTTTTACTTATCCAACTATTTTCTGCACATAGCCTTATGTTCAGCCCTCTACCCAAAGAGGGTGGTTCACCTTGAAACTCTGTGTTATCAAGGCCCCTGATGGCCTCCACTGCATCCTCTGCCCGCTCCATGTGTACGAAGGCATAATCTTTCACGATGTCACATTCAATGACCGGACCATACTCCTCGAACTTGGCTCGAAGCTCCTTATTAGTGCAGGTGGGACTGATGTTGCCCACATGCAACTTTGTTGAGGTTTTGCTCTTATTCTTGCTGGCTTCAACGTTGATGTTCACCCCATGAAGCTTGTAATGGTGTAGGTTGCGTATGGCATCTTCCGCTGCAGTTTTGTCTTCTATGTGCACAAAGCCGTAATTCTTAATGATGTCACATTCCAGCACCTTCCCATACTGCTCGAAAAGAGAGCGGATCTCCTGCTCTGTGGCCTCCCGGGGCAGGTTTCCGATGAACAACTTCACCATCCTGACAAGAGCCTGGGAGAGAAAAACAAGATTGCTGACAAAAGACCTTAGACCCACATCAGTTTACAAAAAACAAAATGACTTTCACTTTAATGTGCAGTTCCAGTTTTCTCTCTCACACGCCTGCACAGACACCTCCACACAACAACCAAAGGGAAGTAGGCGTGAACTAAGGCCTGCTATAGTAGCCGCCATAAAACCTGCAAGAATGAGAAGACGTCTGCAATAGGGAGGTCCTTAGTAGACAAAGGGTTTGGTAAGAATTGATACTTCCAACAGACATACGCAAAAAGACAGCATACGAAGAGATGGCGGTGCTGGGTTTTTCTATCCACTAGGAAGAAAACAAAAAAAAACAGAAGTCTACTTATGCTTGCTGACTGACTGCCTGAAATTATCAACAGGCTTTTCCTCACGTAATAACCAAAGCAGCCATCATTTCCGGAAAAATGAGCCTTGTAATAGCTACATTTCAGTTTCCTTTAGTGAATGCGCGACTCGGATCAGACAGCGAGGCGTGGAGGATAAAGCAATTACTGGAGTGGAGAATGCCTCTCTCGGGCACCGTCTGAGTTTCCGCACAACACTGAAATGCGTGGCCACAGGAGAGCTTCAGATTCACTGACCAGACGAGATCTCACAGCCCGTAAAATTCTCCAAACAGTGTTGCAATTGCCAGGTATAAGGGAAAGGGGCTTCTCCCAGTGGAAATCTTCAGGCTTCCAAGTGCAGCCAAGTCGGGCGCGGGGCAAGGTGGGGGAAAAACGCAAGGTATTCTCAGGGGGCGGTGGGGGAAGGGCTGCTCCCGGCTTACCGCGCCAATGCCGAGGACCGAGGTCGGCTCTCAGTGACGGGTGTGGAGGACGCAACCCCACTAGGACACCCCCGAAGCCCAAGGGAGTGAGGTAAGATTTAACAGAGTACAAGAATGGCAGTGGAAGGTCTCGGAGTCTCACCCGCACAGAAATCAGCAGGGCCTCCTCCTCGCGGCGCGGACGCTTCTGACAAAACGCTAAAATGGCGGCGGCCGCAGCAGTGGCTCTGGGTAGAGGGGGGAGGCGAGTCTACAATCGGATTGGCCACTCAATAAAGTGAAGGGCAGGCGTTCCTGCAGATCCTCTTCCTGATTGGTTATCACGGACGCCAATCACCTGAGAAGCCGGGAAGAGGTGGAAACGTCAGTAACCCCGGAGCTTTTATGCGAAAGCCAATGGGCATCAACCTCGCGAAGCCGAACTCGCTGATTGGGCAAGAGGTCAGCGTGAGGGCGGAACTACAAACGTAGGCTTCGCCGGCGGGGTGCGGCCCGCCATTAGGCGGAGCGAGCTAGAGCACAGGGGTAGTAGTCTTTAGCTTCGTGGCGCCAACTTTGTTAAGCGTCCACGTTTCGCCATCTCCACGTGCACAGCCTGACAGTATTCCGCGCTCCATTTTGCCGTCCACTTTAGGTTTCTCACTCTAAACACCCAATCACCAGCCCCCTCGCGGCCAGGACGCTGTGGAAATAGTTTATGCAGACATATGCCAGGAAAAACAGCGAAGACACACCCCCCTCCTCTGGAAACCAACCTTCGCCTTGGGCCAGTAGTCCACACTGCAGCCTTGAGAATCCCGGAGCTCCCCCAAACTCAAAACCTTTCACAGGTGGTGAAAGGACCTTTGTAATGGCCCAGAAGTAGGCCCAGGAGGCGGCTGCATTGTTCAGGAGACGCTGAGGACAAGTTCCCTCTGGGAACCATTCTCCCAGGGTCAGCGATGAAGAAACCTTTCTGTGACCATGGAGACTGAAAGTACACCCCGACCCCACCCTGAGAAAAAACTGGAGCAGCAAAGGTTTTTTTTGTTTTATTTTATTGGGCGCCATCAGCCAGGGCTGTTTTAATTCCCTAGAACCAACCTTAGAGGGAAGAGCCTAGTCACAACCAGCTGTAAACAAAATACAAAGTAACATTCTCTAGAGGGTCCAGCTGCTGCCTCTTCTCTCATCCTTAAACTGCTTCACATAATCCCAAATTCATTAAGCAAGCAACTTTAGTCAAGACCCTTTGCAAAGCAGCTTTTGAAAAAGAAGTTAAAAGGTGGGGTGCAGGGGCTGGATGGAAGAACTTAAAACACGAACAAAACAGGCCGTAAGCAGTGCAGCGTTTATGAGTGAAGATGACACAAGTACAACACACCACCATTCAAACAAAGCAGCTTATCCACTACCACCCACACCCTAAAAAGAGAAAGGTTTCAGAAATAGAAAGATGAGGTGAGAGTTCGGGGGGAAAAAAGTGGGTTTTAAAGCCCAACATGAGGGCTGGGCGCACTGGCTCCCACCTGGAAAGCCAGCATTTTGGGGGGGGGGGGGGCAGATCACCTGAGTTCAGGAGTTTCAGACCAGCCTGGCCAACATGGTGAATCCGCATCTCTACTAAAAATACAAAAATGAGGCCGGGCGCGGTGGCTCAAGCCTGTAATCCCAGCACTTTGGGAGGCCGAGACGGGTGGATCACGAGGTCAAGAGATCGAGACCATCCTGGTCAACGTGGTGAAACCCCATCTCTACTAAAAATACAAAACATTAGCTGGGCATGGTGGTGCGTGCCTGTAATCCCAGCTACTCAGGAGGCTGAGGCAGGAGAATTGCTTGAACCCAGGAGGCGGAGGTTGCGGTGAGCCGAGATCGCGCCATTGCACTCCAGCCTGGGTAACAAGAGTGAAACTCCGTCTCAAAAAAAAAAAAAAAAAAAAAAAAAAAAAGAGCCAAACGCGGTGGCAGCCGCCTATAATCCCAGCTACTCAGGAGGCTGAGGCAGAAGAACCTGGGAAGCGGAGGTTGCAGTGACCACAGACTGTGCCACACTGCATTCTAGCCCAGGCGACAAGAGCAAAACAAACAAACATGATTCAGGAATCTGACTGTAGAAAACTGGTCAATAATTTATTCTACAGTAGAAAATGCTATGGAACTAAAATACAACAAAACATAACATTTACAGATGTGTTGGTCACTAATCTTGGTCCATTTCATTTGTGGATTCTGATGCACCTCTGAGCCTGCATAAAGGCCACTCAGTGATGAAGAAAATCAATTTCATGTCAGCTGCCATGTCCCCTTCAGATGTGGCCAGCATTAGAACGTAATGCATATTCTCATCTCCTTCAGTTAGATCTCTTGTCCCAACACATCTAGGAATAAAACGTTCTTCCAAAATACCAAAGTATATCAACAATCAACTCCATTGAAACTAATAATCTCTCCATATGGGAAGGAGACTGGAAACAAATCTCAGGATCACAGTTCAAGCCCACCGTGCAGACATCAAAACTACTAACCACCTCCCCATGCAGCCCAAAACCTAATTACTTGATGTGACTTCTGAAAGCCAACTAGGTCTAGTTAGCTATATAACATTTTACAAGCTCATCCAACTGAATCAATCACATTAAATAATCTCCCTGTCTTTTGCTGAGACATTTCTTGCAATGTCACCCAGGCTGGAGCACAGTGGCACTATCCATAGCTCACTGCAACCTGGAACTCCTCAGCACCAGGCCTCGATATTTTTTTTGTTGAAACAGAGTCTTGCCCTGTAGTCCAGGCTGGAGTGCAGTGACACTATCTCAGCTCACTGCAACCTCCACTTCCAGGGTTCAAGCAATTCCCCTGCCTCAGCCTCCCAAGTAGCTGGGACTACAGGCACTTGCCACCATGCCCGGCTAACTTTTTGTATTTTAGTGGAAGACAGGGTCTCACCATATTGGCCAGGATGGTCTCAATCCTCAATTTCCTGACCTCGAGGTCTTCCCACCTCAACCTCTCAAAGTGCTGGGATTACAGACGTGAGCCACCACACCTGGCCTGTTTATTTATTGTAGAGACGAAGTCTTTGTTGCCCGGACTGGTCTCAGATGCCAGGGCTCAAAAGCAATACTCTGAGCTGGGCATGGTGGCTCACGCCTATAATTCCCAGCACTTTGGGAGGCTGAAATGGGTGGATGACCTGAGGTCGGCAGTTTGAGACCAGCCTGGCCAATATGATGAAACCCCATCTCTACTAAAAAAAACAAAAAAGAGTAGCCAGGTGTGGTGGTGAGCACCTGTAATCCCAGCTGCTCAGGAAGCTGAGGCAGAAAAACCACTTGAACCCAGGAGGCAGAGGTTGCAGCGAGCCGAGATTGTGCTATTGCACTCTAGCCTGGGCAACAAGAACAAAACTCTGTCTCAAACAATTAATTAATTAATTAATTAATTAATGCAATCCTCTCACCTTGGCCTCCCAAAGTGCTGGGGTTATAGGCACTAGCCACTGTGCCTGGCCTCCCTGCTTTTTAAAATCCATGGCAATTTCAGCACTTTGGGAGGCTGAGGCAGGTGGATCACTTGAGGTCAGGAGTTCAAGACCAGCCTGACCAACACGGCAAAATGCCATCTCTACTAAAAATACAAAAAAAATTAGCTGGGTGTGGTGGCACGTGCCTGTAATCCTAGCTACCAGGGAGGCTGAGGCAGGAGAACTGCTTGAACCCGGGGATGGGGGTGGGGGGGGTTTGCAGTGAGCCACCACTGCACTCCAGCCTGGGTGACAGAGTGAGACTGTCTCAAAAAAAAAAAAGCCTATGACAACAGTTACATTTAATAAGCAAGGATGATGACAATCAACAGTATTTGGGGTGGTTTAATTTACAAAGGCAGCTGGATAATAGCCAATAAATTTCCTGCCTTTATTTTTTCAGAGACCATGTCACACTGTCAACCACGCTAGAGTGCAGCATCACAATCCCAGCTCACTGGAACCTTGATCTCCCAGGCTCAAGTGTTCCTCCTGCCTCTGCCTCCCATGTAGCTGGGACTATAGGTGTGTGCCACCACATCTGATTTCTTTTTTAATTTTTGGGAGATGAGGTCTCACTATGTTGCCCAAGCTGGTCTTGAACTACTGGGCCCAAAAACAATCCTCCCACCTCAGCCTCTCAGAGTGTTGTGATTACAGGTGTGAGCCACCATGCCCAGCCTTGGCTTTAAATTGTTGTTTTTTTTTTCTTTTTTTTGGGGGGACGGAGTTTCGCTCTTGTTACCCAAGCTGGAGTGCAATGGCGCAATCTCGGCTCACCGCAACCTCCGCCTCCTGGGTTCAGGCAATTCTCCTGCTTCAGCCTCCTGAGTAGCTGGGATTACAGGCACGCGCCACCATGCCCAGCTAATTTTTTGTATTTTTAGTAGAGATGGGGTTTCACCGTGTTGACCAGGATGGTCTCGATCTCTTGACCTCGTGATCCACCCGCCTCGGCCTCCCAAAGTGCTGGAATTACAGGCTTGAGCCACCGCGTCCGGCCCTAAATTGTTTTTAAAGGCAACTGAAAGAAATTCAAATTCCTTTCCTTGCACTGTAAGACCCTACACCAATCTGGTTCTTGCTGGAATTTCCCGTTTCTAACAATCACCACCCTTGATCCCCAACTATGCTCCCTTCAGACATAATGACTTTATCCCAAGCTTGTTTAGACTGGAATATTCTTTGTTCTGATTCTTCACTGGCCACTGATCTAAAGACATCACTCATTCCAACCCTACCTTGGAACTCTATCCTATGACTCCATGTTGTCTTTCTGAATACTTACTAACACTTGGAATCCTATACTTATTCTGAAAGGCAGGAACCTTTTCTCTTTTTGTTTTTTTTGAGATGGAGTCTCACTGTCACCAGACTGGAGTGCGGTGGTGCAATCTTGGCTCACTGCAACCTCCACCTCCGAGGTTCAAGCGATTCTTCTGCCTCAGCTTCCAGAGTATCTGGGATTACAGGCATGCGCCACCACACCCAGCTAATTTTTGCATTTTATTTAGTAGACATGGGGTTTCACCATGTTGGTCAGGATGGTCTGGATCTCCTGACCTCGTGATCTGCCCACCTCAGCCTCCCAAAGTGCTGGGATTACAGGCGTGAGCCACCAGGCCTGGCAGCAGGGACCTTCTTTTCTTATTCCATATTATACCCCCAGTGTTAGAATTGTACTTAGTACATGGTAAGACACTGAAGTATGTTTTGACTATGTTAACAAGTAAATGAATGAATGTATGAGTTAACTTCTTGATAACCAAAAGGAGGGAAATGACTTCAGATTTTCAGTCAATATCAGGTTAAAAACCTGGACACTTATCAGTTTTGAAAACACACACCTTTACTCATCCCTAGTACACTTTCCAGTCTTCCTCAAACAGAAAAGCAGGTACCCAAAAGCCAGAGGTAACTCAGGCTAACAGCATCTGATCATCACTTTGACAACTGGAACACAATGAAACTTAAGGTAGAAGTTAGTAGTTCAAGTGTCTTCACACTGATGTTCACCTACCAGTATATTTTACTGAGTACTAAAAGAACTTAATGCTTGCCCCTTGAAAAAAATTAAAGATTTTTAACTAAAAGCCAATTAAAGAGATCAGATCCAAATCCTCTGCCTTACCACCTCAACTACAAAGAATGACATCAAAAATGATGTTTTTTTAATTTATTTATTTTTGAGACAGAGTTTCACACTTGTTTCCCAGGGCACAATCTCAGCTCACTGCAACCTCCGCCTCCAGGGTTCAAGCGATTCTCCTGCCTCAGCCTCTCAAGTAGCTGAAATTACAGGCATGCACCACCATGCCCAGCTAATTTTGGATTTTTAGAAGAAGAGAGGTTTCACCATGTTGGCCAGGCTGGTCTCGAACTCCTGACCTCTGGTGATCCACCCACCTCTGCCTCCCAAAGTGCTAGCATTATAACAGATGTGAGCCACCACACCTGGTGAAAGGGATGTTTTAAAAGTACCTTGTTGGTCGGGCACGGTGGCTCAGGCCTGTAATCCCAGCACTTTGAGAGGAAGGGGCAGGTGGATTGCTTGAGTCCAGGAGTTCGAGACCAGCCTGTGCAACATGGTGAAACCCTGTCTCTACTAAAAATTACCTGGGTGTGGTGGCACACACCTGTAGTCCCAGCTGAGGCTGAGGTGGGCGAATCATCTGAGCATTGGAGGTAAAGGCAGCGGTGAGCCAAGATTGCTTGGGCAACCAGAGACTGTCTTGAAAATTAAAAGAAGAGCCGGGCGTGGTGGCTCAAGCCTGTAATCACAGCACTTTGGGAGGCCGAGGCGGGTGGATCACGAGGTCAAGATATCGAGACCATCCTGGTCAACATGGTGAAACCCCGTCTCTACTAAAAATACAAAAAATTAGCTGGGCATGGTGGCACGTGCCTGTAATCCTAGCTACTCAGGAGGCTGAGGCAGGAGAATTGCCTGAACCCAGGAGGCGGAGGTTGCGGTGAGCCGAGATCGCGCCATTGCACTCCAGCCTGGGTAACAAGAGCGAAACTCCCTCTCAAAAAAAAAAAAAAAGCACCTTTTCTGGAACACAGTAGATGCTATTT